GATGAAGGCCATGAGGGAGGAACTGGAGAGGCAAAAAGATGTCCTGCTTCCATCGACAGACCAGAGGCAGATGAGCTAATAGGGCAGAAAATTTGGGAAAATAAACACAAATCTTTATTTCAATATCTTTTATCTGCCAAATGATCACAAAAGACAATAATGCCCCAAAGTAAAAAAACAAACAAATAAATAAAACTAAAAGAAACATGATAAAGTGTTTTCCTATAAAGCTCAGATGTCAGATAATTGGATGTAAATTCTTCTTTTTTTGATCAATGCCAAATGAAAAAAAAAAATAATAATAATTTGCCCTTTAGCCATGTTTCTCAACATACAGTAGTGGCTGGTTTTAATAACATACATGGCTTGGTCCCTGTACTGCTAAATCTCATGAAAAGTGCATGAATGCCAAGCATGGTGAGTCATGTTTCCTATTTTACACAACATTATTACATTTCTAAGAATTTGCATGTCATTTTACGCCATGCTCCATGCCGGAATAACATATGTACATTTCAATGCATCGCCATCATATCCCCATAGGCAAGCGCCAGGCAACTAGAAAGCACTGGAAACATCCCCACATCAGTGGAGAGACCAAATAATTGTGTTTGTATGTTAGAGAAAGCTCTGCAGCAGCATTATGCTTGACAGTTAAACTAACCACAAACATCACCACCTCCATGTTCACATGACTTACTTCGGTGCATATTAAATATGCTACTCTGACACAGAAATCATGGCATGTTTTTGTGCATTAATAAAAACATGATGTACCTCTGAACACTACAGAAGAGAGACGGGGGAGCTGTCTTGCTCTATATAGAACTGAGTTTTTATCCCCTGTTGAGATGCCCTCTCGTCTCTTTGTTATGTGTATTTTTTTCGCTCTTTCTCTCACTGTCACTCCACCAACACCCCCCCCCTTCCCTCTCCCTGCATGCGTAGCTCCTGTGTCTCTTTTTTTTCTTCTCTTTCCAGCAGATAGGTGGTCTCTGGAGCTCAGAAATAGAGAGGAGTATCAGAAGTTCGCACTTCATTACTGACGACAGATGAAAGTAAAACCACCCGGATCAAAACATCTCTTAATTGTATTAAAAGGAGACAAACAATAGTATTTATTAGAGGCAGGGGCAGGTTGCGGGTGCCCTTCTGTGTTTACACCCCCCCACCTCTGCTGTCAAAAGGATGCAAAAAAAAAAGAAACTATTCTTTGGTTCTTTTGTTTACTTTGCTTATGAAGGGAGCGTAATTGGATTTTCTACAGCATCTCAGTTTTAAAAGAAAACATCTCGGATGCAGACATCTGGAGAATTATTGACGTTTCTGTTCATGATAATATTTCTTTAATCTGACGGAGTTATTATCTAAACTCCAGTTATCATATTTCAGATGCTTCACTCTATTTGTTCGTTGCTTATTTATGCTAATTTGTTAAGCTCATTTTGTTTTCATTGGTAGCCATCTTTGGTATTTACATAATCAGTATGTAAGCAGTTTATAAGAGACTTTTATATTTCATAACACGCTGCACCGTATCTGAAGGAACAGTATAATTGTTTATGACGGTCAATTTCATAAGAATATTAATTACCATTTCACAGTTTTTTCCATCAGAGTTGAGCTTAACAGATGTTTCCAGGAAATATGTTCTCCTTGCTCAGCCTAGATGGACAACAGATAGCCATGTGTTTGTATCTCTGTCGTTATGCAGGATTCCCAAAACAATGCTTAAGATTGGTGTATTAAGGTCAATACAAAGTAGCACAATTTTATGTAAAATTTTCTTAAATTTTGTTTAAAAGTGTAAATATATATACATATATATATATAGTAGAATATTTTGGGGTGTCTTTGAATTCAGCACTCTGTAGGTTGATAATTTTCATTCCAATCAAATGATGAGGCATCCTTTTGTTCCTAACATATCGCCCAGTCAATATCAATATAAATAAACAGCATGATTTTTTTCCCCCAATCGAGATCTGATGTGTTTTCAAAGTGTTCCTTTATTTTTTTTGAGAAGTGTATTTTTTTTTTATTCCACCAAAAAGGTCAAGGCAAATGACCCTTGGGGGACGTGGTCGTGGACGAGGTTTTTTCAGGTAGAAGAGTTTGAGGAGGCATTGTGGAGCTCAGTTGCAGGGGCAGAGCTAGATGGGGGGCCAGGGGTGGCCATGGCCACCCTTAGCCAATCATTGGCCACCCCTGTGCCCCCCCTACCATTTTTTCCCCTCTAATACAGATGGTGCCAGCAGTAATACTCTCAAGCGGAAAATTCAAAACATTTTAATTTTTCATATATTATTTACTATTTTCTCATATATTCATAATTACTTGACAACAAAAACAATCTGGTTAATTATACACATCAATATACTACCATTAAAGATGATAAGTAGAGAATTCAGGCTCTTTTTTAGAACTAGATTTTGTGTTTTATAGGATAAAGAGAAAATGATGTGTCTCTGCATTCATCTAGGAGTCTTTAGTGAAATCAGAGATATATAACTATGTTAATAAAAATTTAACTAACCAATTTAGACAATGTAGACATTAGTATTTGTAAATATCAATTTTATGCAGAATGATTATTGATAAAAGTAGGTAATTAATGACAATGGAAAAGATGTTCGCCCCACAACTCAAACCTGAAAGAATTTTATCCGCTATACCTTTAACCTAGAAAGCACGGATGTTTAAATATATACGTCTATTTGTTAGCAAAGGCTGTAGGAAAGTATAGTTTGTCTTATCTTTGGCTTGACCCTGATGTTCTAGCGTCTATCCGCTTTAGGCCACCCTTCAGTGTTCATTGGTTGTTGCCTGGCCACCCTTATAAAAATGTTCTGGCTACGCCTCTGCTCAGTTGGCCAGAATCTTATCAGTTTGAGAGGGTTTCTTTAAAGCACTGAGTTAGCAATATATAAAGCTGGCAGAGGACAGGATGACTGTCGTAATGTTTCTGAAGGAGTTGTAAATATACCTGACTGCAGGATTATGATGTCTACCAGTGATGAATGCCAATACCAGCATGTACACTGAAAAAAAATAATGCAACTATTTTTGCCATTTACTTAATCATATTTAGTTACTTAAACATAATTGTTTAAAGTTACCAGGGTAGGAAATAAAACAATTGTGTTAAAGAAACTAATTATGATTAATTAAATGCCAAAAGTGGTTGCATTCTTTTTTCAGTGTACTGTTTATAACAACTGAAAAATTAAAGTGCCACCTATCAACCCTACAAGGGCTGCACCAAGATGGTTTCAAGACAAATAATGAAGTAACACGTCACAGTAACTACGTTACTTTTCCTGTAACTAGCACTGTAACTAATTAGTTTGTAAAAACAGTAACACAATAGTTACTACTACACTTTAAACAGAGCTGTTATTTGCTACTTACATGGATAAATAGGGACTACAGTATATTTCTCCACTGTAAAATCAATAAAGTCAATCAATTAATTAATTTGTGGTGTAAGTGCGCGTGGCACATGCAGTAGGGATGAACATATTGGAGAGACAATGGTGTATTGGTGTATTCTTTACTTTCTTTTACTTACTTTTACTTATCTTTTACTTTAGCTTCTTTACTTGCATTATTTATGTTTTCTCACGTAGAAATACTGGGATCGTACATTTCTGCTAAGTATTTTTTTCTATTCATGTATCCACTGTTCTGTTCTATTCTGTTGCGCAGTATATATTTTTATTAAATTGCTTAAAAAAACATTAATTTTTAGCCAATTCAAGGCTGTCAATGTGCAAAATAATAAATGCCTAAATATGTTCTTTGTCTACTTTTATCATAAACAAAAACATGATTACATCTACATAATGATATTGCAACTCACCTCAAAATAGTGCAGATTAGATTTCAATGTTATAAGATGCATGGACCTTAAAATTAATTATTTAATTTATTAATTAATAACAAATACCTTATATTTCATAATATAACCTTAAGTTGTATTTAAAATTCCAATAAAAAGGTTCTTCAAAACTTTAGATCCTTAAAAGTAACTGCCCAGTTACTTTGGCTAGTAGCTGATCACTTTCACTGAGCAGTAACTGATTCAGTTACATTTTGGAGACGTAACTACTAACTATAACTAAGTACTTTTTAAGTTACTTGCCAAACACTGCAGGGCTAAACAGGAAAATGTAAAACAATTCCACAAAGTAAAACAAAGTAACAACTAGGGATGGGCGATACGTTATCGTGTGCGATATATCGTCAAAGAAATTCCTCATGGTAACAATTTGTCATCTCGCAATAAAAACGATAAACTCCCGCCGGTGACGTATACTGCGCGTGACACACCTGCAGTCCAACCCACGTGCGAGCCATGCGCAAACAACAAGCGTGGCGGAAGGTGGAGGAGACGTGCCCCAAGACCTGGTTCCTAAAAGAGGCTCCAGCTCTGTTATCTGGAACTGGTTTGGATTCAAAAAGTCTGATACGGAGCAGAAAGTCGTACTATGCAAAGTTTGCAGACAACCTGTGACGACAAAGGACAGCAACGCTACCAATTTATTTCACCACCTAAAACACAAACCGGAATATGATGCTAGTCAGAAGATGCGCTGCGATGCAGCAGAAGCCTCGACGAAAACCTCTTAAGAAACCAACTTCAACTCAAACAAAACTTAACGACGCGTTTTCTCATTCCACACCGTATGATAGCCAAAGCAAGCCATGGAAAGAGTTAACAGAGGCCGTTGCGTTTTGCCTGGCTAAAGATATGTTGCCGCTTCAATCTGTGGAGAAGGAGGGTTTCAGGCGTATGGTCCACAAAATGGATGCACGATATAAGATGCCTTCACGGAAATATTTTTCCAAGACAGCCTTGCCTAAGATGTATGACGAGTGCCGTGATGGGCTACAAGCGAAGCTATCAACAGTGACGTTTTTTGCTTCAACCACAGACATGTGGAGCAGCCGAGCGACTGAGCCATACATCAGTCTTACGGTGCACTACATAACTGTTAAGAAGCAATAAGATTTTCTATAATGTTCAGGTTCTAGAGTGTGTGTATGTGATTCTTTTGTTTTTTGAATTGTTTGTTACCTTTGTGGGTGTTTCCTTTTTAGAAGCCATCTTGGAACCTTGCTAAGGAGGAGGCCCGCCTCAAACCCAGCTCTCTTATAGAGGGAGCCATGATGGCTGAACTTTGATTGGCTGTGGGTAAATTGAGAAGGCGGGGATAACAGTATATAGGTGGACTGATTGCTGTAGTAAGAGTCTGATGGGAAAGCTGCCATTTTGTGTTCAGTATAACCATGCTCTGATGGAAGAACCTTAATAAATGACCTTTTGTTTTTGCTCCAACCAACTTTGCTGGATTTTTCCTTCCACACCACACCTCTCAGCACAACAGTGGTGTCAGAAGTGGGATCTTTACGCTTTTGCTTGAAGGAGGAAATCAGGCTAAATGAGAGGAGTAGGACGTGGAAGAACTCGAGGAACAAGGAAAAACCCTCTTTCTGAAATGGAAGAAAGAGATAGTGGAGGAACAGCAGAACCAGATCCAGCACCTGAAGGAGTCATGTCTGGTGAAGATGTCTTTGAACCAGTGGTGCGGCCTAAACAGACCACAGTTGGTACTGTGAGTAAAGAACTTTGTGAAACTGACATCTTTGATGAAATAAGAGAATTTATGCGACATTCTAAACGAACCGAAGCAATTTTGTTTGAACAGATTAAACAGTTGCGCAGTAACATGCCAAAGCTGCAAAGTGATGTATATACTGAACTTGATGAGACGATTGTACAGACTGAAGTTTCTACAGAAGCAGTTTTCCCAAAGCGAGAGAGCAGAACACTATCTCAGCTATTAGCAACAGAGCAAGCCCAAGGAGCCTCTGGTTACCAAGCTGAACCTCGTTATCCATCTCAACCACTTCCTGCACAGCCTCAGCTGCGTGGTGCGCATGATGTTCCAGGACAAAGAGTGGAACCAACCCGTGGAGGTGATCCTAGGATACCTGACTTCAAGGAAGGTGAGGATCCTGAAAGTTTCTTCATACGTTTTGAACGCATAGCTAAAACATGGGGATGGCAACCAACTGAATGGGCTGCTAGAGTGGTCACATTATTGACTGGAAAAGCACTGGAGGCCTATGCTGGTATGGATGAAGACCAGTCAGACTCTTATGAATCTATTAAAGCTGCTGTGCTATCTAAGTTTAATGTGACAGAAGAGACTTACAGATACCGGTTTCGAAGCACCAATGTACCTGTGGGAGAGAGTGTGCATGAAACCTACAGTCGGATAAAGGGACTCTACAAGCGATGGATGCGGCCTGACAGTCGGAGTAAAGAAGAGATCGGGGAAACCATCATCTTGGAGCAATATCTACGTGTGCTTCATCCAGACGTCCGCACATGGGTGAAGGAGAACAATCCAAAGACCGGAGAGGAAGCTGCAGATCTGGCTGAACGTTACTTGGCTGCTCACAGAGAACCTTCAAAGTCAAGAGTAACTGTGGGGAGACCAAGGTTTGTGGAGGTAAAACCTCCAGATGCAATAAAGACTGACAACTTGGACATGAGGGGTGGTAAGAAATCGGAACAATCCAGACTAAAGTATAACCTCACTTGTTACTATTGTCAGCAGCCTGGTCACAAAGCTTCTTTATGTCCTTTAAGAAAACCTAAGTCAGTAGAGTTATGTGTGGTACCCTCCAAAGAACATAATTATGAACTTTCTGATGGTTTGATTCCACATAAACATGTGGTAGATGTGATGATAAATGGCAAAGCTGTAAAAGCTCTTGCAGATACGGGTAGTTCACAAACTTTGGTGAAATCTTCTTTGTTGAACAATGTAATGCCTAACTTTAACAAGCTGGTAAACATTACTTGTGTTCATGGATGTCAGAAAGAGTATCCAACTGCAGATGTCACTATTGAAGTTGAAAGCCAAGCTTTTATGTTGACTGTTGGAGTTGTGAATCAGTTAGCATATGATGTTATCCTAGGGGAAGATTTACCAATCCTAGACAGTTTGGTTCAAGAAAATTCTGTGGCATATTCCTGTGCTGTCATGACACGATCTATGAAAAAGGGCTTAGAACCTCTGCCAGATGCAGATGATGATTTGTATGAAGGAGGAAGTAAAATCAGGAAATCAAAACGACAACGTAGACAGGAGAAAAACAAAAACAAAAGCAAGTCAAAACTTCCTGAACCTACATTACCTTTAATTCCATGTGTTGATCTCCAGTGGCAAATTCCTAATAACTTTAAAGAAAGACAAGAAAATGATCCATCTCTGATACCTCTCTTTGATAAAGCAAACAAAGATGGTGAAAAAGAGACTACTGTGGAGTTCAAAAGTTTAGCAGGAGAGCCTTTTATTATAAAGGACGAACTTTTGTATCTAGCAGACATTGATGAACCCAGACTTGTTGTACCAAAAGAATACCGTTCAGTAATTTTGCATTTGGGTCACACTGTACCATGGTCAGGGCACCTAGGACAGGCAAAGACATATAATCGTGTTGCTCAGCGTTTTTATTGGCCAGGATTATATAAAGATGTGATTGAGTACTGCAAATCATGTCATGATTGTCAGTTAGTAGCCCCCACTAAAGTTTCAGACCGTGCCCAGTTGCAGACTTTACCAATAATGACTGTTCCTTATGAGAGAATCGCCATGGATATTATAGGTCCTTTACCTAAGAGCAGTAATGGTCAAAAATATGCATTAGTTATCTGTGACTATGCAACCAGATATCCAGATGTTTTTCCATTACGTTCTCTCCAGGTCAAACACATTGTCCGGTGTTTGGTAGACCTTTTCTCCAGAGTTGGTATCCCAAAGGAGATTCTAACTGATCAAGGTACCAATTTCATGTCACAAGTGATGAAAACTCTTTATGATCAACTGGGAGTAAAAGGTATTCGTACTACTCCATACCATCCAGAAACCGATGGTTTGGTAGAACGATTTAATGGTACATTAAAACAAATGTTGAGAAAGTTTATTGATGAAACTGGGAAAGACTGGGATAAATGGTTGCCTTTTCTTTTGTTTGCATACAGAGAAGTACCACAAGCCTCAACTGGTTTTTCTCCTTTTGAGTTGCTTTATGGGAGACACGTTAGAGGCCCTTTGGACATGCTGAAGGAGAACTGGATGGCTGGAGAGGCATCTGGATCCAGTAAAAGGTCTTCACCAACAACAAACGTCATCTCCTACATACTGCAAATGAGAGACAAACTGGAAAAATACAGAGAACAAGTTAAAGACCATATGCAGAAAGCACAACACAAGCAGAAGGTATGGTATGACAGACATGCCCGTGAAAGAGAGCTGAAAACTGGCCAGAAAGTTTTAGTACTTTTGCCCAGTGGACCAAGTAAGCTACTAGCTAAATGGCAAGGACCCTACACTGTGATTAAAAGAGCAGGTCCGGTAACTTATGAAATTGCTTGTCCAGAAAAACAAAAGTCAAAGCAATTGCTCCATGTAAATCTGCTAAAGGAGTATCATGAAAGAAATGTTCCAGAAATGGATGTGAAGCAAACCCTGATGGTACAAGACATTCAGCCTGAAGACAGTGCCATGTTGATGGATGGAGAAGCTGAAATGAGTCCATGCAGAAAATTGGCCAAATCTGAAGAGGCTCCAAAGCATCTGACTCCAGACCAGTGGCAACAGCTGGGTGAGATTAAACAATCTTTTCCATCACTGTTTGCAGATGTACCTGGGCGAACTGATGTCATAACACACAAAATAACCTTGAAAGACACAACACCTGTTCGTCTTAAGCCTTACAGGATTCCCCAACAGATGATGGAACCACTGAAACAGGAGGTCCAGACAATGCTGGAAATGGGAGTGATAGAGCCATCAAGAAGTGAGTGGTCAAATCCCATTGTGCTTGTTCCCAAGAAGGACTCATCTCAACTACGCTTTTGTTCTGACTTAAGAAAGTTGAACAGCATTTCTTGTTTTGATTCTTACCCCATGCCACGTATTGATGAGCTACTGGAAAGATTGGGGAAGGCCAAATACATCACAACCTTAGACTTATGTAAAGGTTACTGGCAAGTCCCTTTAGATCCATCCTGTAAAGAATACACAGCTTTTCAGATTCCAGGAATGGGTTTATTCCATTATACTGTTTTACCCTTTGGTCTTCATGGGGCACCAGCTACCTTTCAAAGGTTGATGGACATTATTCTCAATGACTGTTCAAAGTTTGCTGCTGCCTACCTGGATGATGTTGTGGTATACAGTGAGACGTGGGAGGATCACCTACAACACCTTGAGGATGTGTTGGCAAAGATCCAGAAGGCTGGTCTCACTTTGAATGTGAACAAGTGTGCATGGGCGCAAGAAGAAGTTAAATATCTGGGTTACCTTGTTGGCCATGGACAAATAAGGCCACAACTTGAAAAAGTAAAAGCCATTCAAACAATCCCCAGACCCAAAACAAAGAAGCAAGTGAGATCATTTTTGGGCTTAGTTGGGTGGTATAGGAGATTTATACCCCATTTCTCAACTTTAGCAGCCCCTTTGACTGAGTTAACAAAAAGATCTACTTCTAAAATCATGTGGAAGGATGACTGTGAACATTCATTCCAATCTTTGAAGAAACTGATCTGTCAAGCTCCTGTTTTGCAGAGTCCTAACTTTTCCAAGCCATTTATTGTTCAAGTGGATGCTTCAAATGTTGGTCTTGGAGCAGTGCTCGCTCAGGGAGAAGCTGGTGAAGAAAAACCTGTCCTTTTCTTAAGTAAAAAGCTGTTTGACCGAGAGAAAAAGTACTCCACAGTAGAAAAGGAAGGACTTGCAATAAAGTGGGCTCTGGACTCTTTAAAATATTATCTCCTAGGAAGGGAGTTTACTTTGCAAACCGATCATAGACCTCTGAAATGGATGCACTCCAAGCAGCATCAGAATGCACGGATATTTCGTTGGTGCCTTGCCCTTCAGCCATACCAGTTCACCATACAGCATTGTCCAGGTAAGAAAAATCTGATTGCTGACTACCTTTCTCGTTTGCCTGAGTTTTGTGAACCAGAGGGGGGAGGAAGTGAGTAAATGTTAAGAAGCAATAAGATTTTCTATAATGTTCAGGTTCTAGAGTGTGTGTATGTGATTCTTTTGTTTTTTGAATTGTTTGTTACCTTTGTGGGTGTTTCCTTTTTAGAAGCCATCTTGGAACCTTGCTAAGGAGGAGGCCCGCCTCAAACCCAGCTCTCTTATAGAGGGAGCCATGATGGCTGAACTTTGATTGGCTGTGGGTAAATTGAGAAGGCGGGGATAACAGTATATAGGTGGACTGATTGCTGTAGTAAGAGTCTGATGGGAAAGCTGCCATTTTGTGTTCAGTATAACCATGCTCTGATGGAAGAACCTTAATAAATGACCTTTTGTTTTTCTGGACAAGCAATTTCATAAGTTACCGGACCTGCTCTTTTAATCACAGTGTAGGGTCCTTGCCATTTAGCTAGTAGCTTACTTGGTCCACTGGGCAAAAGTACTAAAACTTTCTGGCCAGTTTTCAGCTCTCTTTCACGGGCATGTCTGTCATACCATACCTTCTGCTTGTGTTGTGCTTTCTGCATATGGTCTTTAACTTGTTCTCTGTATTTTTCCAGTTTGTCTCTCATTTGCAGTATGTAGGAGATGACGTTTGTTGTTGGTGAAGACCTTTTACTGGATCCAGATGCCCCTCCAGCCATCCAGTTCTCCTTCAGCATGTCCAAAGGGCCTCTAACGTGTCTCCCATAAAGCAACTCAAAAGGAGAAAAACCAGTTGAGGCTTGTGGTACTTCTCTGTATGCAAACAAAAGAAAAGGCAACCATTTATCCCAGTCTTTCCCAGTTTCATCAATAAACTTTCTCAACATTTGTTTTAATGTACCATTAAATCGTTCTACCAAACCATCGGTTTCTGGATGGTATGGAGTAGTACGAATACCTTTTACTCCCAGTTGATCATAAAGAGTTTTCATCACTTGTGACATGAAATTGGTACCTTGATCAGTTAGAATCTCCTTTGGGATACCAACTCTGGAGAAAAGGTCTACCAAACACCGGACAATGTGTTTGACCTGGAGAGAACGTAATGGAAAAACATCTGGATATCTGGTTGCATAGTCACAGATAACTAATGCATATTTTTGACCATTACTGCTCTTAGGTAAAGGACCTATAATATCCATGGCGATTCTCTCATAAGGAACAGTCATTATTGGTAAAGTCTGCAACTGGGCACGGTCTGAAACTTTAGTGGGGGCTACTAACTGACAATCATGACATGATTTGCAGTACTCAATCACATCTTTATATAATCCTGGCCAATAAAAACGCTGAGCAACACGATTATATGTCTTTGCCTGTCCTAGGTGCCCTGACCATGGTACAGTGTGACCCAAATGCAAAATTACTGAACGGTATTCTTTTGGTACAACAAGTCTGGGTTCATCAATGTCTGCTAGATACAAAAGTTCGTCCTTTATAATAAAAGGCTCTCCTGCTAAACTTTTGAACTCCACAGTAGTCTCTTTTTCACCATCTTTGTTTGCTTTATCAAAGAGAGGTATCAGAGATGGATCATTTTCTTGTCTTTCTTTAAAGTTATTAGGAATTTGCCACTGGAGATCAACACATGGAATTAAAGGTAATGTAGGTTCAGGAAGTTTTGACTTGCTTTTGTTTTTGTTTTTCTCCTGTCTACGTTGTCGTTTTGATTTCCTGATTTTACTTCCTCCTTCATACAAATCATCATCTGCATCTGGCAGAGGTTCTAAGCCCTTTTTCATAGATCGTGTCATGACAGCACAGGAATATGCCACAGAATTTTCTTGAACCAAACTGTCTAGGATTGGTAAATCTTCCCCTAGGATAACATCATATGCTAACTGATTCACAACTCCAACAGTCAACATAAAAGCTTGGCTTTCAACTTCAATAGTGACATCTGCAGTTGGATACTCTTTCTGACATCCATGAACACAAGTAATGTTTACCAGCTTGTTAAAGTTAGGCATTACATTGTTCAACAAAGAAGATTTCACCAAAGTTTGTGAACTACCCGTATCTGCAAGAGCTTTTACAGCTTTGCCATTTATCATCACATCTACCACATGTTTATGTGGAATCAAACCCTCAGAAAGTTCATAATTATGACTGGATGACTGGATGACTGGAGTTTAAATAGCAGCTGCCTACAGACGAGTTTTTTCCCGGAGGACCACACGGGTGAAAATATTGCGAGTGGTTTGAAACAATTTTTACAAGAATGGAAACTTGACGAGGCCAAACAGGTGTGCCTGACCACGGACAGTGGGGCCAACGTTGTCAAGGCAGTCGCGTTGAACAAGTGGACAAGGCTGTCCTGCTTTGGACATAATCTGCACATTGCTGTTGGTGAGTAAATCTCGTAATGTCTCCTTTCTTCTTATTTCTGAGTGTTCTACTTTGTGTGCTTGCATTATTTTTATTCAACAGTACTACTTGCAATTAATTGCGTTTAAGGTCACAGCTTATGTTTTCTATCGATTCTTTTTTTTTTCATTCTTCCTGCGCACTCCAAAGTTCTAATATAGTCTTGGCATCTACCGTTGCTAAACAACAGCAAGATGAGAGGTTTAACAAAGCCTCTGTTAAGCGCATTTGTGCTGAAGCTAATAGTTTTTTTCTTTTAACCTGTGTCCTCATGAGCAGAATTCCATTGCACTGGGACGCTGGTACATATGGAGGACCAACTCTGCCATATTTAAAAATAAATACAGAAATAAATGCTCAATAAATATATAAGCATACAATAAATTGCCAACAAAAACACAATCAACAAATAAATATAAATAGAAATTAAATTATACAGTGAGACATAAATGTATATAACTCTTTTAATTAGCTTCTTTATTTATTTGCCTTTGTAATATTTACCTTATTTATTTTTTTGTCAAAGTGGTCACAGAGGGGGAACCTGTGTCTGCCATGCCAAGTGGCCCTGCTGCTGCTGCCGCCTCTGAAACATCACCTCAGTCTGCTGAAACAGGCCAGGGTCAAGAAACTGAGGACAAACAACAGAGGAAGAGTCTGGGAAGCTTTCTGAAACAAGCAGCTGCAGCTGAAGTCTCCACCAGTGTCTCTTACAGTGACA